CAATAAAAAAAAAATAAATTAATTAATTAAAAAAAAAACAGAATTTATTCTAATATCTTGCATGTAAATATTCATTTGATCATAAGTTCCACATTTATTATTTCCAATTCAGCTGGACCTAATACTGTATAGCAAAGTTTTAGTTCCTGAGTAGCCATTTGGTATTCATCAAAGCAGGTTTAGATGTCATTTCTACTTCCTTACATCCCCATGCTCATCAAATCTGAAGTCCAACTCTGTGTGGATAGTATAGAGCTTAATTCTAGGAGAATAAATGCCATCCATCCTCTATTTTTGTAGCTTTACATTAAGCTCTATCTTTCCTTCATCTTTATTCCTCTTCTGTTGCAGAAGTGGTAGCAGCCACAGCAGCTGCCTTTCTGTCCAACCTTAATCTGTTTCTGTTCTCTTGGTTTCATTCTCTTCCATGTTAACCCACAATTTTTCTCTCACCTTGAACTTCATTCAAAGAATCCCAACTTCCTCCATCACTATTACATCAGAAGTTAGCATTCTCTTTCATTAGTTCATTGCCTTCTAAACTTACAGAACAGTTGAATCATATCAAATTAACTTAACTACTATATAATAATTTAGGTAAAGTTGTTTATTATTACTGTTATTGTTAGCACTGAGTATTGAACCAAGGCTGTTACAACTGAGCTCCCAGTCTGCTGCAAGTGAACTGCTAAGCTTTGGGTCCCGCAATTGTGCATGAAGACTTGAGTCTTAAAATTGACAAATTGTTAATTGGGGGAAGCTTGGAGCCCACAAAGCTGCAGACTGCTTTGTTTTTGCACAATACATCTTTTATAGGGCAGTGTGAAGTTGAATCTTAACTATGGCATAACATTGAAAACAACTAACTTGTTTGCTAGTACTAAGAAAACATTTTCCCCAGTGTCAAAATAGATATGTTCTCACAAAATTCTAGGAAACATATCTAGGAAACATACACCTAAGTGTGTAGCAGTTAGTACAGGTGAGGCTTTATTTTTCTCCTTAACCAGGGTCATCGTGCCCCACAAGAATTAGCCTAGAATAAGGAGTTATTACTGTTCTGTCGCATTTAGCATTCCAGCCTCCTTGGCTTCAGCTAGTACACAGGAACTCCACCTTTGGGTTCTTCGGGGTGCACTCTCCATGATTTTGGGAGATGGGGCCTCAACACCAGTCCTTTTTATTTTTTATGTTGAAACAGGGTCCATTAAGTTGTGGAGTCTGGCCTTGAACCTGAGATCCTCCCGAATCAGCCTCCTGAGTTGCAGGTACTGCAGGCATGCACCACTATGCCTGGCAAGTTTAATAATAACCTTTACGTCAATATTATTTTATCTACACATTGCTGGCATTGATAAAATCAGCTCCAATTTATACTCTTTAAACCAAATAAGATTATATTCTGAATGTAGTCCCAATGACTTGCTTTTTCAAAGCATAATAATATTTGATAGTAAATTATCATTTATGGGTTATCACTTGTTCTCCATTTTTCCTATCTCTACAACATCTATCTTTGACACATCCAACCACCAAGAAGAACTTTGAGAAATTTTCTAGGTATTGCACCATCCAATGGGATCTTTTTTCTCTATTAAAAGTCACTTTCCCAAAGCCATGTATGTATAATATGTCAAAATACATTCTACTATCATGTACAACTAATTAGAACAAATAAAAAAGATGCTAATATTTAAACATACACTTACCAAAAGAGATAAATCCTACAAAAATTATATTAATTTGTAATTTTGAACTCAACAGGTCATTTAGAATTAATTGTGCACAGTCAAATCATGAAAATACAAATCAAGGTCAAATTCAAAGAAAAGGATAAATTTAGTATTAGAAAGGTTAGAGTGGTACTGAATTGATATTAATTTCAGATGGCGAATGAGTTCAGAATAACTGTAAATCAATTATTTTGGTCACTTTAGTATTGTACAAATCTGCAGATTGATGAATTATGAGCTCATTTGCATGACATGTTAAGGGATTCAAAATGAGAAAAACTAGCCATCCAGAAACCCAGTCATTCTTTGTGTACACAGTTAGATGCACAAACTCAAAGAGGACAGAAGGAGACAGGATTTGAAAGAGATATATAAAAATGCTCATCTCTGGTTCATTATTATTTTATATAGGTCGCTAAATCAATCACTTAAATCTGTCTTTCATTTGTGTCAAAATAAGTCTATTTTTTAAATTAGTATATCAAAAACTGAAATAGGTCTTCAAATAGATTCAACTTAAGTAGAGTTCTGAGTATAATATAAAAATTGTATGGTTAAATATTATTTCCTACAAACGGTCATCTTCTCACGGTCCTATATAAGATCTGATCTATTGTTGGATTTTAAAATAATAAAATTTTTAATTTTTATTTATTTCATCTTCAAATGAGATGCATATGTAATGATTGATTTCATGTAAAGACAGACTTTGTGTTACACTGCAAAAATTTTCTAAAATTATAAAGAATCTTCAATGCTTTCCATGTTTTCTAACCTAGGCCCTGTGAAAAAGTTTAGAAGCAAAAGATGACGATTATTGGTGTCAGATTAAAACTGCTGTTGACACCTCAGTTTTTCTCTCTTTCTTTTATGCAGTTGCTGGAATCAGAAAAACAACATTATCATGCTTACTTGAAGATGAAGACAGGATCTAATTAAAATGGCATCTATGTAATGGACCTAGTTAAGTCTAATAGCCACTTAATGAGTTGGTGTTTGTTTTCATACTGATACATATTTTTCAATTATATGCATAGGAGATATGGACATCAAATTCACTCCTGAGCTACACTGAATAGCATAGTCATAATAATCATGTTTTCTTACAGCTATGACTAACTTCTTGGGATTAGTGCTGTATGTTAACGGTTGAGGTGGAGAATTCCAATCTTGTCAATGTCCTACTTAAACATTAAACATAAGTCTAAAATTTAATGATATTATTATGTATCCTTGACACCTATGATGACTAATGCTGCTGATACACTTCTAGAAACTGCAGCTAATATATTTTATACATAATTCCTGCTAAGTGCCAATTGTAGGATGTGTTCTGTGCAATACCCAAATTTTCACAACAGTCTCTCAATGTTATTAGTTCCCTTGGCCTTAGAGACATTTAGTAGCTTGCCCAAGTCACAAAGCTAGTGAAGATCTAAACCCAAGTTTGACTCACTCCAGACTCCATGTTCTTATTCATAAAGTCACATATTTAATAAGACCAATTAAAGAGAAATGCACAAACCAAAAAAAAGCAGAAGTTTATAGTTGTTTTAAAATAACATCATAACTCTTAGAAGGAAATAGAATCATCATTTTTCTTCATTACTATGACTCATGCAATTGTTTACCAGATTTTGGATGCAAGTATTTTATTCTGCTCAGGATGAGCAAATGATCCTTTGCTTCCACGTACTTCATTTCTAAAATTGTGAAATCTGATTGATTCTGGGAAGTGACATCTGGGTTTTGTTTTTGAAGATCATACAGGATATCTTCTGAAGAGGTGGCAAAGAATGACTTTTAACCATGTGCCTATTTGAGCAAAGATCACAGTGACCAGAAAAGATTGTAGCAAGAGCATTTGGCAGAAAATATCAATAACAGCCAATGAGCAATTACTTCAAGGGTGGAGAATGATAATATTTTCTAACTTTCTATTGCTCTTCTCCAATATCAGCTAAGGCTGTTCTGGTCTCTTGTATCTTAAAAGCAACAATAACAGAAAGAAACTCCAAATTCTTCTGTTTTCATATTTAACTGGATTGAATTCTTAAACTTCTTTCTCCAAGGCATGGCACTATACTGCTGTAGGGACTATTAAATTACAGAGTATAAAATATTTGCCTCTTTAATAGCTCTGTACATTTCAACAATGACTTGTGACATGTACTAATCATCCTTTGGGAAACTATTTCTTATTCATGTCCGTGTTGTCTCGATATCTTGTATTCAGGATATTTGTACACACTCCAAGTTACTATATTTTATTTCATTTGTTCTGAAAAGATCTCAGACTGTTTGGGGTTTATGCCTTACATTTCTTACCCACATTGTCTCCTGAAGTTCTACTGATTTGGAAATGTTTGTTTTAAAATTTTCTAACACTTTTGAATCCTTTGAACCTGCTTTGAGACATATGACTCCAGCCAGTGTACCCATTCTGTGGGATCCCTAGAAAACCCTTTAACAGACATGAGCTACATTCAACTGTGTAGTGTACTCAACAGCTATTCAGCCCATAGCTGATATTACCACAAGTTATTGGAAAAGATCTTTAAACATAAGCAACCAGCCAGCAAGAAGCATGTACTATGATAACAATTTAGTTTTAAGTTACTTTGAATATTGTTAAATCTAACCCTTTGTTTTCCAGGACAGGCTCTGTGTGACAAGGTTATTCAAAGTCACTCAATCAAATGGGAATTAAAACTTCTGACTTCCATACTGATGTCTTCTTGTCATCAGAATATTCTGTAATTGACACTAAAATAATAGTGTGATCATTGAACTGTTCAGTAACAATCAATCAAAATGCCACAATTACAGTCATTTATAAATGACATATGCATCTTTGTTCAAGTTTTTAGGTACCTTCATATATTGTTTTATACTATTTGAAACATGTATTTTAAACTCTTAAAGTAGAAATAACACTTTTTATTGAAAAAAAGTTAATAGAAAACATAGATGGAAAAACCTGATATTTGTTGATGTTTCAAAAACAGTCTACATATGTTACAGCAGTACATTTAGCTTTTTTATGCATTTGGTTTCTTGCATAGTTTCCAAAACATCCTAGAAGACAGCAATACTTTAAATGGAGTCTGTTAGAGTTTTAAAAAGTATTTTAAGAAAACCACAATTTTTGTCCTCTTGCACTCCCAGAGCTCAGATTAATTAATATTATTCATCTTTGCTGAGGTCTTATCAAGAAAAGATTCAAGTCTTCTATAAAATTGAATTCAACCTATCTACCAAAGCTGCAGAAGAATTTTCATTCTCCCCAGTGCTGTGCTGCATCTTGGTCCCTGAGATAACTGTTTCCATGGAGCAAGCCATCTATGAGACTGGGTAACAGTCAGTTCAAATGTTCAGCTTTGGTTTCTATTTCAATCCTTCATGACAAGAGAGGCTGCTTTTCTAATGTGAGAATGTCCTGTGGTACAGACCACCACGGGCCCAGCATTCATCTTCATATGATAGTGCTTTCTTTATTCAGAAACATTAAAGGTATCACCACTTGGCATGATTTTACTCTTCTGCCAGGAGTTAGGGAGGATCAGAGGAAGCCATTTTCTCTTTACTCTTAAGTAGTTCCTAGCATTTGCTTCCTGCTAAATCTTAGGTGAACTCTGGACAGGAAGGTGAGCTTCTCTCTCCATGGACACAGGTTATCTCCTGGGCATGAATAACCAGTCTGAATTTTTCCATCACCCTGTTATTAGGAAGTTTTCCTGCACAGTGTTATGTTCATGGAGGAGGAGAAGGCTGAAGAAGTAAACCTTAAACAACAAGATGCAAGCTATTGATAACACTGATTCCTCTGTGGTGCTTTATGATTGTCAAAGTGCTTTTCCACAGACATGTATGCCATTAACGGCAGAGACTGGACAGGGTGTGAGGGGGGAAGAATTCTAATTAGGGTCCCCATATTCCTACCCACAGGTGTGATCCCCTGAACAATCATCTGAGTATGATCAGGACCTAAAGATATGATGGAATAGTTACTCCTGTTGTTATAGTTAAGTTACATCAAAGGCTCCACCTTGGCAGACTTAGGAATTTCTCCTGCTGCTCTGAAAAGGTCAATGTCAGTGCTGGAAAGGGACCTTGAGCAGGTCACAAGATAAGGGTGTTCCTAGGAGGTAAGGGCAAGTCCCAGTGGACATTCAGAAAGATAAATTAAAAAAATAAAATAAAATAACCCAGGAACCCCAGTTAGACATCTGCAGAGAAACAAATTCTAGCAACTCTTTACATGAGCTTGGAAGTGGATTCTTCCCTCAGTGCCTCCAGCTAAGAACACAGACTGGCTGACACCTGAATTTCAGCCTCGTGAGAACCTGGGCAGAGAACACTGCCCAGACTTCTGACAAAATAGAACAGGGACTGCAGTAAATGGGTGTTGTTTGAAACCACTAAATTTGTGTGATTTCTTATGCAGCAATAGGAAACTAATAAAATAAAAAGCAAATTATGTATATCATAAACATTCCAGTGATAGGGGAGGAAGATTCAGAACTGTTTTGTCTAACTTTCTTCTGAAAATTAGTAATAGAACTGACATTGGCACATTGGGTTCTCATTTATGTTGCAGTACTGTTCTAATGGTACTATATGCTCTATCCTAATGAGTATTATTGGTAGATTTTCTTTATCCTGTCAACCAGTAAGATGAAAAATTGCAAGCATAATATGTTGTGTTGTTTGGAGGGCTCAATGCAGATGAAAGCATGATGATTTTATTAATTCTCACATCAGATCTTTAGTATAATGAAAACATTAATCAAAATCATATTAAATGTTAAACTGATAATGTTTTAAAAGAATCTAGAATCAAACGCTAATCCTCATCACTAGGCAAACAATATTCTGAGTAGTCAAGATCAGGAAATGTGATAGGCAATTCAACCCACTTTTTGTATTGTTTCTTTGATGAATTGTTTTTGAAACCCACTACAAAATTCCTTATTTTGAGACAAGGCAGATCTAAGCCTCTATGGACCATCATTGTTCCCCAGGCCTGGAAAACAAAAGAGAAAAAGAGAGAAAAAAAATTAATGTACATCTACTAAGCATTCCTTTGGGCCAAAGTAAAATTGAGTCCACAGCAATTTACTTACTTGACCACATTTGCAGATGATCTCTCTATTTGTTTGATAGTCAGCAAACTTCTTCTGCAGAGTTTTGTTTTCTGTCACAACATAGAGTTTCCTAAAATCATCCAGGAGTTAGAATCATTACTGGGAATTAGCAAAATACCAATTTGCAGACAACAAGTCCACACTGGACCCTAGACTCATCCACATGCCTGTATTATCCCATGCCTCATTCCTTCTATCCCTCCTGCTTCCAGTATTGTTGTGGGAAATCTGGTTGATGTCCCCTATCCACACAAATCTCTCAACGGTCATGCTTCCTTTCATGACTTCTTTCAGTCTATTAGTTATTTTAACTTGACTTTGGTTGTTCAAAACTTTGAGAACAAATATGAACTTCTGCATATTATGTGCCTTGTATCAAAATGGCTGTGGGATTTACATTTCTCTTCTCTTGTCCCAGCATAGATTACTTTAGAAATAGACATTTGAAATGGGAATATAGTTGGATGGGAGTAAAATAGGATAATTTCTGAAAAAAAAGACCCTTATTTTCACCATTTTGAAAGACTATTTACAATATAGTATGCTTTACCAATAGTAGAGAAACGGGTCCTCCCAAACTCACTTGAATTCTGTTGTCATATTGACATGATGCATTTTCTCAATTACATAGATATCTTTCCCTGAGCAGGCTAACACATTACAGTTCTTGCAGAGAAAAGTTATTATTGATGGATTGTCCTTGCACTGCTTGGCAATATTTCTCTTGGTTTTCATTTTCTTTTCCATTATGCTTTGCAACTGCAATTCAAAAATCTGCATACAGAAAGGAATAGTCAATCTTTCCTCCATAGTTTTATTGAAATAAGTTTCCTAGAATTCTGAGATCTTAGTTGTAAAAATATACATTTAGCTGTGGTCTAGTAAAAAGAAATCATGAGGCAATGACCCCAGAAGAATATAGTCTATCAGCCTGTCCTATAATCACCCTAAGTCAAATAAAATGTAATCATGGAGCAACAGTTATTGAGTAAGTTTCAGGGAAATGTTTAAGCTCCTCAACTTGATCTTAGACATTTGATTTGATTTTTAAGAAGCTTTTAGTTATGTCAATTCTGTCTATGACATAAAAAACAGGTTTCCCCTCCTATACTAGTGGTTGCCTGAGCACTGCATTGAGAAGGATTCTCAAACGAGATGAATGGAGACATTATCTTGGTAGCTATGATTTAGTGTCACACCACACTTCACTGGCATTACTGCTCTGAGCTCTTTCACCTGGAGTAGTCTTAGGAAAGCAGGTTTCTTAGCCAAAAAGGACCTAGACCATATCTGCTATGGTTTAAATGTGACTTATATACCCAAATTTATGCTAGCGTTAAATCCCCCAATTCTCATGTTAATAGTACTAAGAAGATGAAACAATCTGGCTACAGTGGGGCTTTGGAGAGTGATCAGATTAGGTTATTAAGATATAACTCTTACTACTGAGTCCTGGAGATTTTACAAGGACAGGGAGAGAGATCACACAGACAAAAACAATACACTTGCACTCCTGCCATGATATGGTTATAGCTTGGGGGCCCTCACCATAAGCTTTCAAATGCTCTTTGGACCTTGTACTTGTGGAACCATGAACCTTTTCCTTATAAAGTAGCCTACCTCAGATATTTCAGTATAGTCATAAAAAGCTGACTAACACAAAATTTTATTTAAATGATTGGGAAAATTTGACCTTTAAATTCCAGATATTGTCCTAGAGTTCACCTTAAATAACTTGTCTTGAAATATCAGCCTTTACAAATATCTATTTGATTCTTTCTTTTTGGACATTAGATGTGGAGCAATAACTTTCTAGTGGTACTATTTTGTGGAAAAAGTTTGACACTCCAAAATGTTTGGTTTGCTCTCTATCTAAAGGGGTTTTAAAATGTAAGTTTCTATATAAACCTGGCCAGGAAACCTTGGACTTGGTTAGAGTTTTGTACACCAGTTTGAAAGCATCCCTTTCCTGAAGCTCTATTTAGGGTAGAGCCAATTCCAATGTTAAGAAACTAACATTCACACCCATATGCAAGGGTGTGAATTTTCTTCTAAATGGATTGTTTGCTATTATAGTAGTTACAGTCTTTAATTCAGTAATTTGAAGGATTTCCTGAAATATTGTAGAAATACATTCTTCTTTTGTGTATATTCCTTTACACAATTCACATAACTGTGTTAATAAACTGAGATGTAGTTAGATGACATATATATAATATATGTATATATATATGTCATTTTTATATATAAAATATATATATATGTCATTTTATATATATAATTTTTTAATCATTCAGATCCAGTTTCAGTATTACTACTTCTAAGAGGATTTCCTCAAACACTCATTAAAGTAGCCATCTAGTGACTTGTTTTATACCATCCTATTCAAATTCCCTAGCAATTATCTTTATATGGTGTAGGTGTTGCTTTTGCACCTTTACTTACAGTTTTTCTTCTCCAAACATCACCAGCGGCACACTAGTATATAAGCTTCATTCAGAAGGAGTATGATCTGTGTTGTTTTTACTATATTCTGTCTGTGCTCCTAGAACTTGCCTGTCTTACAGTGGACATTTTATAAATATTTCTAGAATTTAAAAATGTGCTTGTATAAACAGATTGGATCAATCCAAAATTACCAGATTTTGTTGAATGAGTGAGTTGCCTTCGTCTTTCTATATCAAGGACAGCCTGAATTTAAATTATCAAAGTTTATGGTTGGTTTTACCATAATGAACAAAACTCCCTAAAAATTTCCTGACCACCATAGGTCTTGATTCTTTATATATAATTCTGGACTAAACACAGCTTAGCAAATAGGAACTTATAATTTAGTACAATTTTTGTCTGGAAAAGTAGCCACAGAGGTAATAGCAATGGTAATCGTATCCAGCCTTTTTTAAAATGGAGACCAAATTTAGAGGTGAACAAAAACAATACCTTATGAGCATATGCCTCTGGTTTCATATTTTGAACACAGTGTATAGCTTTATACATCATTTTCTCCCGGAAATCATTAACTATCTCACGTTCAAGAACTCCTGAACCGCTGGGGGCAACCACAATGTAGGTGCTCTCCTCTGCTCTGGCTCTACCCCGGGCCTGAGAAAATGAAAAAAAGTCAAGCAAATGAAAGGCTATTCTTCACTACAAACTTTGCTGGTTTGAGAATGATATTTATTGCTCAGCAAACTTGCCTTCAAACGATTGCTCTATTCCTTGTATAGTTAGTTATTTCTTGTAAGTCAGCTCTTCAAAACTTAAAATATGCTGTAATATGGAAATTAGTGTTCTAGTGTGAAGATGGTGAGCCCCCACCCCACTGGCTTTGAAAGGCCTCAGGAAGACAAGAGGGATGCATGAGAAAGGGCATCTCTGCCTTGGCATCAGGGCTAGTGAGGCTGCAGATCTGCTCCTGGCATCTTACATTTGATTCTGAGCACATTTCCATGGACACATGCTCTTTAGAGAGACAATTTTTTATGCCTCTTAATAAAGTGTATTCAGGTACATTTTGAGTAACAGAAATGTAGCCTAGCTCAGGAGCCTATCAACTATAATATTATCCTTAAGGAAAAATGCATACTCTTATTATAAATAAATTTCTGAAATAAAACTATTTCCTAATTAGATGACTGCCTGGTTATCTTAGTCTTCTATTGACTTTCATCCAAGGATATGATTTACAGCATAAATAAAAACCTTTTAGTTAATGTTACAGGAAGCTTATTGTACCTATTAATGAGCACACCTCCTCTACATGTTCAACAAAAGGTAATCATAATACTGCTCAATGTGGGTGGGTATAGATAAAGTGAAATTTGAATGGAAACTAGGAAATCTTATTCATTTATTTATTTATGACACTTCTAAATCTGCCCTTACTAAACATTTTATCATGAAAGATTTCAAACATAGAAAAAAGTTGAATGAACAAGGGAAGAGAATTCAGAAACATCAGGGTTCCCTAAGATTGGGGTGTTAGTCTGCCGGACACTTGTGGGAAAGTGTGGTTCAGATTTCTAGTCCCACTGTGGGTTACAGACATCCTAGGAATAGGAGGCCTCTTGGCTCTTACACATGGGGCCAGTGCCATGGTCCTATGAAGTCTCAGGTTACAGAAATACCAACCTAAGAAGAGTTTTTCATTAAAAATACAATAGGTATCTGGTTGTCAAATAAATTAAACAGTAGTAATATAAATGACAGTACTGCTCAGTTCTTCAAGATTGCTCTTTTTAGCAGAAAAGGAAAGATGTTTTTAAAACTAAAAAAAAAAATGTTTTTTGCTCTTTCACTAAAAAAAAAAAAAAAAGCAATCAGAACATAGAAGGAAAATTTGACACATTATAAAGGTATCTTTAGTACCTGGACCATGGCTATTTCATTAGTGACAAGGCCATAACGGATAACGATGTTACATTCTTTGATATCCAGACCTTCCTCTGCCACTGTGGTAGCGATAAGCAGATTTATTTTTCCAGTGCGAAATTTACTAATGACTTCTTTTTGTTCATTCTGTGGAAACATTTCAATAAATTAAATTTTGTGATGCTAAACACATTAAAATCTTCTAATTAAGAGAAGAAATAATAAATTGCAACTGGTCAGTGTAAATCAAAGGATTAGATCATACACGGATCTGCTGCCATCTGTTTTTGGCATTGAACAAAGACTTGATGGGGAGACAACATTTGATTTCCAATCTGGGATTACCACACAATAACACAAATATTTCCCTCCTCCAGTCTGGAGGTGGGAAGATCATCAGTTATGCCAAGGAAATAAATTGATGGGCGATTTGGGAGGAAGAAAGGAGGAGGTGCTGTTGGCTGACAAAAGGATATGGCAATGAAAAGCTGAAACGGGCTTTTACTTTCATCACATTCACTTCAGAATATTTAATATTAAGAGAATTAGATGTAGTGATGTTTTTATAGATTGTTGAGTTTTGAGTCACAGGAAAAAAAATGCACACTCTATACTGTATTTGGTCATTTTCAGAATCATTCAGGGAAGAAACATACAGAATGTTCCTGAAAGGACAAATAAGAAAAGTGAAAACACTGGCTTCCTGTGGGACTGGATAAGAGTCTAAGATGAATTTTAGAGGCAACTCAACATACGTGCAGGTACAGGGTACACTGAGAGTTATGAGGTGGCCTTATATCTTACTAGGTTTAAGCAAGATCAATATTGGATGTATTCAATGGGATAACAAAGATGGAAGAATAGGTTATTAAAAACAGATTTACAAGTATTTTTAAATAACAAGTATCTGGATTTTGAAAGTCAATATTAATATATTAAAATATGCCCTTTGGTCCCTGCATAGGAAGAATAGGTGAGCATGAACCTAGCCTGATGTAACTGGTGTTGTTTTATTTTCATGTAACACTCTTTGGTACAGATTCACTCTATCTTTTGTTCCTATACATTCAACAAAATAAGCCATCTAATAAACCATGTGCCTCTGATCCCTTTCTTCTTAGGGGCAGCATAGGTTTTTATTTGATTCCTAACTGCTGGAGAATTCTCTAGTAAGGACCCTCTTGAGTCTTTAAGGATTTCTTCCTCATGTTTTCACATCTGCTGATAAAACTAATATGTCCTTGGATTTTATCAGAAGATGCCTGTGCCTTAATTCAAAGCAATAACTTTAATAATGAAATTTCAGATATACTATCAGATCTTTAAATCACATCAAGTATAAATCCACTCCAGTTTACCAGGGTGAGAAATGAGGAATTCAGAGGGGTAAGGAAGGGAAGAGGGTCCAGATTTTGGCATGTAACCCCCAGATTTGAAGTGGATAACGAGCAGAAGTAGTTTAAAAACAGGATTCTCACTTGTACCTCATCCCTTTTCAAACAGGAGCTGAGGCCACTTACAACAAAAGTCTCAACATTAAACTAATAAATATAATAAGAAATAAAAGACCTAGAGTGAAAGAGTTTAGATGTAATACTTATAAAGATTAACTCAAAGGCTGTGAGACTGAACCTCTGTTTGGCCTTTCCGCTACCCGGAAGCCAGGGCAAAAACAGTCCCTATGAGGTATTCCTAAAAAGCTTATGTGTGAGACAATGCAAGAAAGTTTAGAGATGAAATTATTGGGTTATGAGAGCCTTGACCTAATCAGTGAGTTAATCCCCCATAGGGATGGTAACTGGGTGGTAACTGAAGGAAGGTAGGTGTGGCTGGAGGAGGCGGGTTCTTAGAGGCATGCCTTTGGGATATACGTTTTGTCCTTGTTGAGAAAGCTCTCTGCTTTCCTCTACCACACTCTTCCACCATGATATTCTGTCTCATCTTGATCCCATAGGAATAGATTTAATGTGTATGGACTGAGACCTCAGAAACCATGAGTTTCCACATAAACTTTTCCTCTTCTAATTGCTCTTGTCAGGCCTTTTGGTCACCACAGCAAAAAAAAAATACTAACTGAAAACAAAGATTAAGTAGATGGATTCTGATACTATGAAGAAATAAGCTTGTTGTCCAAAGAAAACAGTGCTTTATCTGGCTTTAAATTTTATAGGCAACTTAACATAACTGCGTGTACAGGGTATATGGAGAGTTATTGTGAACAATTCCCGAATTCTTTTTTCTAAACACATGCTCAAATAGATTTAGTTTGCTCCATTGGCCTGAATGATGATGTCCATAACAGAACTGAAGTATCTCCTTGTCCAGCAAGACTTGGGGGTCAGTACAACTTCAGCCTTCAGAAAAACATTTTACTCTAAGAAGAGATGGTTGTATACCCTAGAGATTAGTGCTCTATCTGATGTGTGAGGGGTAAAGATTTGCTCCCAAGATGTGGGCTCTCTATTCATCTCACAGATTCTTTTTGTTGTTGTTGTTGTTGAGAAGAAACTTTTTATTTAGAATTCATCCCATTTATTGATTTTTTATTTCAATTCTTGTGCCGCAGGAGTCTTATTAAGGAAGTTGGGCCTAATTCTACATGATGGAGATTAGGGCCTACTTTTTCTTCTATTAGACACAGTGTCTCTGGTTTGACTCCTAGGTCTTTGATCCATTTTGAGTTGAGTTTTGTGCATGGTGAGAGATAGGGGTTTAATTTCATTTTGTTGTATATGGATTTCCAGTTTTCCCAGCACCATTTGTTGAAAAGGCTATCTTTTTTCCAGTGCATGGTTTTGCTGCCTTTGTCTAATATAAGATAATTGTAATTTTGTGGGTTAGTCTCTGTGTCCTCTATTCTGTATCATTGATCTAGCAGTCTGTTTTGGTGCCAATACCATGCTGTTTTTGTTACTATTGCTCTGTAGTATAGTTTAAGGTCTGGTATAGTGATGCCACCTGCTTCACTTTTCTTGCTAAGGATTCCTTTAGCTATTCTGGGTCTCTTATTTTTTGCTTTTTCTAGATTAATGGATATAAAAAGTGGCATATATACACAATAGAATATTACTCAGCAATAAAATAGAATAAAATCATGGCATTTGCAGGTAAATGGATGGAGTTCAAGAAGATAATGCTAAGTGAAGTTAGTCAATCCCCCAAAACCAAATGCCAAATGTTTTCCCTGATATAAGGAGGCTATTCATAGTGGGGTAGGGAGCTAGAATGTGGGAAGAATAGAAGAACTCTAGATAGGGCAGAGGGGTGGGAGGGGAAGGGAAGGGTTTTGGGGTTAGAAATGATGGTGGAATGTGATGGATATTATTATCCAAAGTACATGTATAAAGACACGAATTGGTGCGAATATACTTTGTATACATACAGAGATATAAAAAATTATGCTGTATATGTGTAATAAGAATTGTAATGCATTCTGCTGTCATATATAAATAAAAAAAATTAAAAGAAAAAAAGAGAGATGGTTGTTGTACTCATGCATGAAATGTCTATGAGGGTCTTTTTCTCCCCAAGTGTTATTTTACTGTGCACACAATACATAGTATAATAAGATAAAAATGAAATAAAACAAAAACCTTGAAAAGAAACCATTTTTCTCTACACTGTATTGGGTTGTTAATTTTTGAAAGAGAAACCCAACTTAAATCTTCCTCCAAATATGGAAAAAAAAAAAAAAACAGACTCTTAAGACAATGCTTAGCTTATCAAATACCAGAGTAGACTAATATTAAACTTGATTTGAAGAACCGGTGTTTCATTCTGTAAAAGTATTTTAAGTGGGAGAGATGATGAAGAGCATTACAAGCAATTTGAGACTGATAATAGTGGCATAAGAAAAGAAGTCCAAAAGAGCGTTTGCACCTGTGTCATAGGCTTGAACTCACTGCTGTGGCCGGCGCCAATCAGATGGTGGGCTTTCACTCCTACTTCAGCAAATTTTTCATTTTCAGAAATCCACTGGGAAAGGGCATATGCGCCCTGTCGTGTTTTTGTAAAAATTATTCCTCGTGCAGATTCCTCGGTCCTGGTATATTGTTCCAATATGGTGTTTCTTAATTTGGTCAGCTTTTCATTTTCATGTTCTGGGTTTTCAGCTAGTTTTTTCAACATTTTTTTGTTTTCTTTAAGAAATAATTATAATTATTAATATTAATTAGCTTCACTTAGCCATTCTACAACACATATATAGCAAACATCATTTTGTACATCATGAATATATACGTTTCATTTGTTAAAGAATAAATAAATTAGTTTTAAAAACTACAATTACACTAGAGAGTTTTATGTAGTGATACACTGAGATGTGACTTATGTATCATTGATCTTATGCTATATCTAATATCAGGCTGGTCTGATTAATAAATTCATTGCAGTCATTTTGACAGTTGTTGATTATACCATGCAAGTAATCCCTAATCTGGTCACATCAGTTAGGAGTGGGCTTTCTTCTTTGAAAATAAATTTTTAAGAGGGTCTCTGGGATTGCTTACAAGAAGCGGTGATCCGTATCAAAGAGGTAAGACTGTTGGAGATATGTTTCTTTGAATCTTACCAAAAAATAAAGTCATGAGAAATTTATCAGTCTCATTCAACTTCAAAGGTTTTTTTAAATCACCCTCATCTTCATCATCATCACAATCATCGTCATCCACACTTGTGTCACTGTCGTGTTCCACGACTGCAAGCTTCTTCTCTTTCTCATCATTATAGAATGTTTCAAGGTGCTTGTACGCATCGATCATCCTAATGGTGTCATTAATTTGCAGGGCTTCATTGTATTTCCTCAAATGTTCTGCACACACACGGTCTTTGCGATTTCCTTCTCTAGCAGCTGTGAAAGAATACACTGTCTAAGAGAAATAGCAAGCAAGCCCCCTATGATTGTGCTGCAGACTTAAATAAATGATGACTCCAAAATCAGCTTCACCTTCATTTTTAAATGATCAAGGTACCGCTTAAAATGTGTCATGAATTCTCAAAGGGGAAAACAGTTCCCAGCCCCTTGACAAGCTGACTTAAACTCTGCAACAGCCAGAAAGTGCACCTGATCCATGCAGGAATGGCATGACAAACCTGTCAGTGGAGCTTGCCATGAGAGACAGCTGTTAGTACTAATCTTCTTATTTTAAATATACAATAAATGAAAGAGAAAACTGGATGAATTGGTACTTCTTTCCTCAGATAAGGGATTAGAACATGTTTAAGCTTGTTCCATACAGAATACAGAAACTCAATTTGATATTCTATTTGCTTACAGTTTGCTCGTGAGTATGTGCTATAATCATCTCAAATCTTGGTGTAAACATGCGATAAACTGTTAGTTCAAACCCAAATTACCTTTTTTTTCCTTTTGAATGGCCCATTGCTCATAAGGCTGAGTTCCAAAATCTGATGTTGGACTCATTTGGCAGTGATTTTGAATGCTTGTCATTATTTTTACAAGTTTCTCTTTAAACGGATCCTAAAAATAAATTATACACTTATTCTTACATATTTATGCTGTTATGGAGTGATGTTATCTTTGTTAAATTTGTTTATACGTTATAATAAATTTGACTGAGATTCTTTGCCTAGACAATGTAACAAGATAATCTCTAATCACGTCTTTGTACATTGTACTTATTTTTTTCAGCTTTTTTATTACCTCTAACATCAAGCCATACCCATACTAACACCATATGCCTCTGCTGTAATTTCTAATTTAAAAGTTTTATAGAAGTAAAATTAATGAATGTTATAAATCCTAAATATTAAAGGTAACTTTAAAAACACATTGAATTAATGTCACAAGTACTTGGAAAGTCAACAAATTAAAGAAGCACTTTGAAATTCAAACAAATTTAATACTGTTTTCAATAATGTTTTTATCAAAATAAAAAGCTTAGTTTGAAAAAAGAAAAATATGCCATGATTTATGCTATATGATTCCATTTTATAAATTTCAATATCAGTCAAAACACACCTTTGGTTTTAAAATCAGGATATTAGTTCTCCTTGGGACACTGTGATTGACAGAGGGAGGAAGGAATTTTCAGGCACTGGCCATGTTTTATGTCTTTATCTGTATTTTATTTGCATTGATGTGTTCAGTTTATGAAGAATCCACAAATTAGTACAATTTTCTGTGCATGTGTTATGCTTTGATAAAAAGTGTATCAAAAAGTTAGTAAGCTAAAAAAGAACAAATTCTTTTCAAAAATATAATAAGAATTTTTTAATGATTATGAGTAGAAACATGCGTGTAAACATATCAAATAAAACTGAATGAATAAAAAAAGTGAAAGTGAATAAAGTACATTTGAATCTGTGCACACACCTCAAACAGACAATACTCTTTCAGAATTGAAAAAATTATGAAGGTTGGTCTCTAACATTGGTTTAGTGCCTATTGCATTTTAATCACAGTATTGTTTACTGCACATATATCATTTCCCTTATTCCCAATATTCCTACGAGTTGTATTTTCAATGTGATTAAGTGCAAATAGGTAAAATTCATCATGCTTTTTCAATTTTACAAAAAATAGTATTTACATAACCTACTGGTCATAATGTCCAAATTGACTCTCAGTTGATTTTTATAATTAATAAAAGTATTCATTAGAGAAACATCACTAAATTAAATACTTCACTCCTTTATTATGACAGCATTTTCCCCAAGAAAGTAAATATGCAGATATGCAAATTAGGTAAAATTTCCATTATCATTGCCAACTGTAATCTGGTAGCAACAAAATGGCTCTGTGGAACGTCAGAAAACTAATCCTGGAAGTCACCAAGAGAGTAAAAAGGATAAAGTTCACTGTCATATCCCTCTAGTTCAGAAGACTGCTCCTTAGCCTCATGCCTGTGACCTGTATCCCTCCAAGGCTCACATGTAGCCAGTTACTGAGTTACTTTTCACATAAACTAGAAAACTAAAAGATGAATGGAGGAAACAATTAGCATCAGTGATTTGCTGCCCAATACCAAGTTTTGAAAGCATAAAACTTTAACTTGTTTCCAAAAATTTTTAAGTATTATCCAGACGGTCAGTATAAAATGGCCTTTGCCATCTTTTAATTGAATATGGCATTGACAATCAAATAGATATAAAATGTTAAGAACATACTTCTCTGGTGTCATCTGCAATTACAAACTTCTTGCATGGCTCCTTTATTTGGTCTTTGAGTTGCTCAAGGTTTTCTTTAACAGTTTTAATGGTAAATGCATCAAGATTGGCACATATCTGGAGAAGAGATATTTTAAAATGTTCAAACAATTACTTTCCCCTTATAATTGATTCAGTGTTAGTTTTTGTGTAAGGAATATGTAGTATATAATTTGCGGCATAAATATGTAGCATAAAATATCATGTAAGTAGTAAAAAGAAGCTTCTAAATCAAGTTGGTGAATAATTATAGCAAAAAGTATATTTCTTCTCATCTCTTAAATTCCATTCTGCAGCTGGAAAATTGGACATGAAAAGAGTACAGCAATTTACAGAGATTGACAGAGAATGGAGATGAGATAATCATATTACACAGGCGTATTACAGATCATCTTGACAACCATGGAACACATTACCAACCTCTTCATGTAATGAAGACAGTGCAAAGTTGGAAGCAGCCTTATCCCTTTGTGCATAGATTATACTGGAGTTAGTCCCTAATTCCAGTGATAAATTTTATCTTGAAGCCAAAAATTGCACCTCTGAATGATAGGTACTCTAAAGATTTTTACTGAATTTAACTCTAAAGGACTTAACACAAAAATGCAATTCTTGGGCTACTCTTGATTCACTTCACACTTGAGATCTTTAACACTTGAGTGGTTTATATGGCTTCACCATTCTGGGGTAGCTGACAATTTCATCTTTAATGAAAGATCCTGATATTTCTATTTCCCATTAATTTGAGTAGCTCAGATTCATAGAAAGACATATAACCGAAAAGACACATAAAGTATTCAGTTTTACCACTCATGGGGTAAGACGCTATAATGCGTGAAATCTATAAAATAATCTATGCACATTTCTATATAGAATAGGTCATTAAGTTGTAGAATATTTGAGAAGGCATTCTGTTTGTCTCAACCGCTCATCAGTTATATCTACTCTTCATAAATATTATGCTCTTCTGCATCACGGTTATTTAAGTTTTATCACTGTTTTGTGGATTAAGTGTATTTACCATAGTTACAGCAAAGAGATTTAGTTTAACTGATGATCATGGCATTTGAATTCAACCTTACTTAAAAAGTCCAAGAAACACTGTTATTTGTTTTAGCTTCTTGTTGATATGTAAAGTTCATGACTTACTTTTAAAATGTGTTCTTCAGCCTTGGCTTGCTTTGTGGCACCTCCAACACCAGGTGAAGCTGTTAGGCCCAATATCTGAGGCAGGGGAATCACTGGTTTGTTTTCTTTTTCCAGACGTTTGTTTTTCAACTTCTGTTTCAAATAACGTCTCATGATGTTATTATAGACTGCTTCTTTGTTGGTGTGATGACATTCATCAATAATAATGAGGGAAAAGTCTTAGAGGAAAATCAAATGGTTAATTTTGCAATACCTGCAAGCTACAGGGAGAGAAGTACCCTGAAACTAGCAAATCAAGTGGCCATGGGGATGTGTTTCTTGGGCAGGAGACTGGCACTATTCTGTTTCAAACTGTAGGAGAAAATCTAATCACTCACTCAATCTGTGTATTCCTAAGTATGGGATACTATTCACCAAGCTATACCTGTTACATACTATATCTGTTTAATAGATGGGTTTCAGAAAGTTCATAGAGCTAAAGTGTTAGTTCATAAAGCTAAAGTGTTAGGAAGTGAAATTTATACCCTGCTTTTTTTTTTTTGTTTTTTCTTTCTTTCTTTTTTTAAGCACTCAGGATTATCCTTTGGTTGTTTAATAAAATATTTCATTTTGGGTTGGCAATCTTTATTTTTATTACATCAACTAAAATAATGCACTATTTAAAAAGAGAAAATTTTGTTTTAGGATTGTATTTAATTGTTATAATTACTTTGAGATTTTCCCTGCCAATCTCCTACCTTCTCAACCCGTCCCAGAAAATAGGAAGGATTGTTTTTTCACTCTGCAGAGAAGGCCATGGTTCTAATGGAATCTCTTAGCAAATAAAACCATTTTGTCAGAAGTAAACAGAGAATCCAGTGAGTGCTTGATTTAATAATGCTATTCTTATGAAAAGTGATCTAGAAAAACTTAACTTTTTGTTTGTTTCTCCCAGTACGTGAAGGGTTTTAGTGAAATCTTAAAACATGAAGGACAATCTAAATGAAGGCTAACTTCTCATCAACATTTTAAAAATTATTAAACTAATACAACCTCTTTTACTATCAACATTATTACTAATTTTCTTTTTCTAAAAACAAACACTTCTACCAACCTGACAAACTGACACCAGCATCTTCTCCACTTTCTGAATTTAAGAGGGAGTTTTCAAGGATTTGAGCTGTACTGATAATAACATCATAGGATTTGACAACTTCTGGAAAAGATATTTTCAGTTGGGTATCACCACTTAACCCAATAACATGATACCATTTCTTCAAAAATGGTTTGAACTCTTTGAGGAAGAGCTGTTCAGCTAAAATTACCTTAAAAATGAAAAGATAAAAACAAAAAGAGAGAAAGCAAAATCAAAGTAAATGGTATTGATCAAAGGCCTACTATGTGTGAAACATTAAGTTTGCCTTATCAGTTAATTAGGCATAACAACCAATCCTTATATTCATCTGTCAATGAATGTTTATTGCATCCTTATTAGGTATAGACGTCATATCTGGAACATAAAGGTGTTTGGGATGTGGTTAATGGCTTAGAGCAACTCAGTCTAGCTAAACACAATTATCAAGACTAAAAAAAAATGCAATGTAATAATTCTCTTGGAGATGTGAATACAAAATGACCGAAAAGAGGAAGAAACAACTAATCCCTCAAAGGAAGTGTTTAAGAGGGAATTCGAATCTACTCAGCCATGTGTTAGTAAGGACATAAGTTGAAACTGAAATGGGATAAGAAATATATTTTTAATTTGCACAGCAGGGCCAGACTGTGAACACTAACAAGAGTATTTTAAATGTAGTGTAACTGTTCATAGGATCCTTACGAGTGGTGTGTAGAGGTGATTTATCCTCAGTGTTGGTTTGTGGATCAGGATAAAAGCAACATGCCTGAATGATTAGAAAGAGCAGGAAACCAAGAGCAAAGAGGAAAGGCATGACTGGGAGCCTGGGTAGGAAGTGAGGAACTACTGGAACAGCTTTGGTGACTGAGCAAAAACCAAAGAGCAAATACACTTGGCAAAAGAAGGGGGCAACTTTCTATCTTGTTCAGCTGACTCTGTATGCTGCAACGACTGCTGAAGTTGGCCAGATTGTCACTGGATTGGGGGAAGGTCTTTTCTTAACAGGATTTATAAACTGGAAGTCCAGGGTTACGTAGTATGAAAGATAGTTGCCGGGAAGAGTTTCAAGGGCAAACCTCAACAAATGTACATTATTTTCCTCATGATGTGATTACCTGATAGTGCAAACAGTGGAATATCTGCTATTCTTTTTACTTGAGGTTAGTCTCACTTATGTGTTAAATAAGGGCTGGCTGTTCTCCCTGGTGGAGAACGGTAGCACACAAAGAACAAGGCTTTTCATTATTATTTATTATTATTCAGTAGAAATGATAGAGGCTTCTAGGAATAAATGCCTGGGGAGGGGAAAAGGGAAGAGGTAAAAATGGAATCCATGGAAGCAAAGTAGACTTAAAATCAATAATCAAGGTTTGCAAGTGAAAAACATTACCACAGGGTAGAAGGGGGTAATGAGAGGAACTGTCATTCAGTGTTTTTTTTTTTTTTTTTTCAAAATAAATTCTCTCTGGTTTACCTGCCACAAAATCACTTAAGAGGTTTGGAAAACGCAGACTCTTGAGCCCCATTCAAGGATTGCCACATCTAGGGACCACCTGAGGGCAGAGCCCTAAATTCTTCACTTTAGTGAAGCTCCCACGTGACATTTAAGACTTCAAAATGTGAGTGCCACAACTCTTCTGTCTCTCCCACAAAGCCGTCACTGATTCATTTTTCTAGAAGCATTGTTTGCACTGGGTAAGACAACAGGAGTAATCTGAGTCACAAAGATTCTGAAGAAGAGAACGGAAAATGAATGTGGTGGAAAGAAAAAGCAGGTGTCAGAAAACATTCCTGAAAAGAGCCACTCCAGCTTCTTGATTGTGTGTGACCTGGACAAGATTTGATTCGTCTCAAGTGTCTCCATTCCTTCAAAAATAAGGATAATGTGTGGACCTGTCATAGGGTTGTGAAAATTAAATGCAGTAGAAGCTGCCATGTTTCCAATACTCAGAAAACTTCCCTGATACACCACTTTGCCTTTCATTTGAGTGGCAGAAGTAGTGGAAAGAGAACAGGTTGACTTTAGAGGATAAGGGTTCAGAACTCTTCTCTGATGCTTATTGGCTGGATGACCCCTGGAAGGCCAATTAAAGTTGGAGCCTCAGTTTTCTGATGGAAAAAATAATTGGGATAATTATGACTACCTCATAGAGTCGATGTGTGGTTTTAATGAGATAATGTACAAGAGAGTGCTTTATAAAGTGCAATAAAATATCAATTATAGTATTAGCATACATCTCTCATCTCCTTTCTAAACTGTAGATACCTTGAGAACAGAATGTGCTTTGGATATGTTTTTAAATACACTCATGCTGAATGGCATAATTAAAAAAATCTCTGGATCATGGAGTGACATAGCAACTTCTACCCATAAAAGAGGAGACAAAACCTTCTAAGGAAGCAGCATCCTGTTATCTGCAAAACAAAAACATTGTCACAGGAGATAGCAGGTGTTGGAAGTCCTGATAATCACTCTGGGTGGCATTGACTTCCTATTGAAGGACACAGAGAAAGCCAGATGCAAGTCTGACATGGCTAATTGGGAGGTGTGTGGTCCTCTTGGAGCCTTTTCCTGAGATGTGACAGAGTGCCTGCCAAGACTAATCAAACCCAACTGCTACCCACTTCTGCTGAATCATATGGGGCTACATTATAGCATCTGAAGGAACCTGGGATTTATCTCTCATGATGTTGAAGCCCTAGATAGGAAATGAAAAGTCTGGGAGCACAGGTGGTGTTTTCATTTCTCCCTGCATTTGAAGGCTATAACTTTGGAAAGGATGGAGGAAGGGAGATGAAAGTAAATGGTATTAGGAAACATGATTTCTCTTTTCTAGATCAAAGGTTACAGTAACTTCCTGTTAGGCTTAAAAGCAGAATGCAGGTTAAGTTTACTTATTGGACCAGAGATTTCCTGACTCACCAAAAGTAATTAAAGTGAAATTACTCTAAAATAAAAAAAAATGGAATAGGAAATTATGCAATTATGACGTAGATGGGAGAAGTAGTGGAGGGATTTCTAGTATTTCTAGGGAGAAAAACAACAGGGAAGCTCAGGGACTCAAGTTATATCCTCAAATGTTCACAAGACAAAATGCAGTGAATGTGAAGAGTGAGGATGAATTGACATTTAAACATGGCTATAAATGAGCATTCATAAAAATCACCTAGATCTGAGGAGATGAAAGTTTCCTAACTAGAATAAAGTACTGAGACAGGAAGTCTCGTAGAAAGGAAAGTGCATTAGATACATACAACATCATGAGACCTGAAATGATAGGGCAACATCAGCAATATGAAGACAGAAGCACAAGTATTTTGCATTTAGGTTAAAAACTTAACTGCACAAAAATAAGTTAACTTTAGCTTAACAGATTTTCAGAAGAAAAGGAAATGGGGTTCTGAGTTCATAGCAAGATGCAGATGAGTCTGTAGATGTCAAAGCAAACCAAGTCACAGGCTAGGTGAGTGTTATATCATGTATCTCCTGTAACACCTCAATGCTAAGACCATAGCTAGAGTATTTTGTTCCGCTCTGGACTCTGTGTTTTAAGAGGATTCTGGATAAAGTTTTGGAAGAATATGAGAAGTAATAATGATGAAAGGCCTGGAAACCCTGTTATAGCAACAACTAAAACAATTGTGGACATTTATCCCATGGGACAAAAAGAAAAGTAACATAGGACTCACAGGACTCTTTCATGAAGGGCTGTTGTAAGGCAGGAGAATTATGATTTACTTTTCAGAAATACAGAGGAAAAAACTGCAAACAATGCGTGTGAGTTTCAGAGAAGCAAATCTGGATGAATACATGTGTGGCTTTCTAATAGTGTCAGTATGTCAAAGAATGACTGGGGCTGTCTTATAGACAGGAGATCTCCTTGATATTTGAAGTTACTCAGTGGAAATAAGAGAATGACTCCACCAAGGAAGAAAGCTGGATCTCAAAGGCCCTGTCCAGCTCTACTGCTCTGTGCCCCTGTGGCAACAGAAAGGAAATACAGAAGTAAATGAATAAAAAATAGCTCCTAGGTTTTGAGGCTGTATGGTTCCGAGGAGGTGGTATAATTAACAAAGAGACAGATAAGTAGGGAAAGCGAGCCCTTTGACAGGGTAGATGTTGAGGCTGAGTTTGAAAAACAGCAGAATAGCTAAGTTGTATTTAAAAAATCAGCTTAAGTAGCTTTGAATCCTACTAACTTTGTTCTTTCTCTGGATCTGACATTTAACCTATTCTTTGGTTAAAGTGTTTGATTTCATTAGTTACAAAGGTGAGGAAAAAGAATAGGAGAAAGAGTTAATATTTATTGAATCATTATGAGACTTTTTCTCAACACACACACCATCTAATTTAGATTTCAAACACAGGGTTATTATTATTTTGTTCATTTTACAGATGAGGCAACTAATTTGTCTGAGATCACACTGCTGTTAGGCAGAAAAAGGATTCAAACTTATTCTAAAAAGTAATATCCATCAAAAAGGGAATATATGAAGGGTTATAGACAAATAATTTCTAATGCATCACCATTACCAACAATTAAATTAAAAATAAATAAGTTCTCGAAAAATAAATGTATAAAAGAGGGTATAAATGTGTAAAGGAGTAGTTTTAGACATAGCAGATATATACAAAATACATTTGGAACAACATGATGGAAATAACTCAAATCATGGATGGAATCACTCAAATCATTACCTTTTTTAGTACTGAAAAGCAAGTTGTAACTGAAAATTTGGGCATAAAGAAATACTAAAAAATATAGGAAGTTTTATAGTCTACTGGTGAATTTTCTGTAAAGAAATTCACGAGAATGGGGAAAAAGTCTATTCCTGGTCATGAAAAATATACGCAATTTTATTCCACAAAATGGTAAAAACTAATATCCCCAATCTGCAAATTTATAAATTAATAAATTCTCATCTATTTTAGTAAGGCTCAAATACCTAGATTTTGTTTCACAATCAGGAAAACATTTATCTATTAATTAAGATGCCCTTCACATACCCTAATATGAAGTATTTAAGAAATATTATACTTACTACATTAATATATATTATACATATGTATAATATGTGTATATATTCTTTGAGCATTGTTTACCTATTTAGCTGGATATAAATAAACCAAACATTCACTTAATTTTCTCTTTATCTTTAAACCACATTATATATATTCTGGATAAAGAGGATATTTCATATTCAATTGAGGATCAGTGCTTAAAGAGACTCTAAAAGACATTATTTGATCCTACATTCCAGGGATATATTGAGGTCATTGATGTTCACATGCAGTGAGAAACCAAACCAATATCAGTTGACCTTAAAATATATCTTGCAAATATTATCTCTAAGCCTAAGTTATAGTTATTTGATTTAATGATTTTATAGAGAAATCCAACTTTAAGCTTTGTCCCTTAGTAAAAATACTTACAAAACCAAACATTGAAAGTAAAATAAGTGCTCATTTTGACTTTACATTCAATTAAACTTAATCTGTGTGCTATATTGCTACAAATATTATTTAAAAATATTGTTATATAAAATCTTCAGAATAGTAAAATGAAAAATGAATAAATGATGCCATATTACGTGTTGTCTGAATACCTTATTGACAAGAACTATAACTTTTCCAGGTTCAGATGCTTGTTTCTTTTTGTCCAAGTGATCTCTGGCAATGTAAACAGCCACTCTGGTTTTCCCACTTCCTGTGGGAAGGCATATGATAATATTCTTCCCTTCCAAGGCTGGTTGGGCAACTTCCATTTGGTAAGGCCTGAGCTTCAGTTCTGGCTCAGGGGATGCTCTTTCCGAAAACTCCTCTTCATCTGAAGAAAGTTGAAAAGAGGAAAACTAAGAGGCAATAAAATAATCAAGGCTAGTAGGCCTGAAATTGAATAAAGGCCTCTTGTGGTTTAAATTCCTTCTCCTCTATGTCCAAACCAATTCGTTTTCTAATTTCTGTGCCAATCAGTGTCAGGTGTCCTCTTAAATTTGCAAAATGCTGGTGCTATATCATGGAAGTGGCTTAAGGAGCCGGGGTACAGGAGTGAATTAACAGCACGAGGGCCTGGGAAGCTAGCAACATGGGGGGAATGTTTTCAAAGAGTGAGCAAAGCCAAGAACAATTTACAGAAACGGATGTGGTGCAGGATTGGCAGTTATGTTGTTAATGCATCAGAATTCCCATTTCTTCATTTAGCCAATATGTCTTACTTGTTTCTTTGAGCTTCCTCACTTGCAAAATCAAGAGAAATTGGGAAAGCAGGATTCATTCATCTCTCTTGTTCTGCTGTCACCCTTATTTTTTATTACAAAAAAGATATTACAGCTGATTCTGCTTTCCTTCATTTGTTAAAATTTTATCTGACATCTAAATGACAAAAAGCATATGTACACAATTGTCCCTTGGTATCTATGGGGAATTTGTTGCAGGAGCCCCTGTGGATACCAAAATCTGCAGGTGTTCAAGTCCCTTATATAAAATAGCATAGCATTTCCATATTACCTGCACACATATGCCATAACTTCACATCATCCTTATATTACTCATAATGCTTAATACAATGTAAACATTATGAAAATACTTGTTATTTTGTATTATTTAAGAAACAATAACAAGAAAACAATCTGTGAATGTTCAATACAAGCAATTGTTTTAAAAAAAACATTTTTGATCTGCAATTGGTTGAATCTATAGTTATGGAATATGAAGGGCAGGGTGTAAATGTTTGTGTGTGTGTATCAAGTCCTCTCCTATTTGAAGACATTAAGTTATGGGGCTGGGTTTGTGGCTTGGTGGTGAAGTGCCTGCCTACTGACATACTGGATTCGATTCTCAGCACCACATACAAATAAATAAAGTAAAGGTTCATCAACAACTAAAAAATATTTTTAAAAAAGAAAAAGAAATTAAGTTGTGCAGAAGCAATATTTAGTGACTAGGAGAAAAACTTTGCCCATGTTAGCCTTTAATTTGTAGGTTTTCATTGAAAGGTAACAACTAATTTTGTTAATTTAAACTAAATTGTGACTAATTTTGCCATTTAGGTTTGAATTATAATCTTTATTATATCCTTATATGTATATCTCCACAAATTCATATTTCTCCTGAAACCCAAAGCACACTATATTATAAATATTTTAAATTAATATATATATATTGATATATAGATATATTTAATTGATAATACTGGTAAAGCAGGTGCTAATGTACACTGATTTTAGGAATGTTAAAATGAGATTATTATAACATACATTGGTTTCAATATATTTTATTTAGAAGTGACCATTTTAATCTATATTAGCCATGAGAAAATCTTTAAAAATATACAGTTTACAACATGGAATGCAGTAATATAAATGTTATACCAATTTAAAAGTCTATCTTATGTTTTATATAATCACAAGAAAAAATGAAATGACAGCACTTATCAGTACTTTATCACACATGAAATAGTGTTCTTTCTCTTATCAATGGTCACCAATAAAACTTAACTAACATAATCCCATTAATGTTTGAAAACTTGCTGATGGCTCTGTTTCAGCAACTGGATGGTTCTATTTAAGTGGACTTTAACTTGTTGTGATAGTACTATCTGAACAGGTAGGAAATTTCACACCAAATACCACTTAGGAAGAACCATCTATAAACCTGGCAGGAAATGTGCCTTTTGTATGGATGAGTGAAGACAGATGCAAGACATTTAAGCTATCATTGGGTCTTCTGCTGATTCATTTAGTATGGTTTTCATGAAAAACTCACAAGATTATCATCATTTAAAATAGACATTTACACATTTACAAGTTTTCTTTCTATGCTTACTTTGAACTCATAGTATTTGTAACTCATTTATGTAAGGTTCAGATTTATTTAAGAACAATATTACTTCTCTACTAAGTAGCTTTTATAAGTAATCAAAATTCTGATATTTCACCTCCATTAAGAGGATATATATCACATAATTTTTTCAAAAGAACCAAGTTTTTTGTTGTTGTTGTTGTTGTTGTTTGTTTGTTTGGTGGTGTTAGGGATGGAAAAACAGGGCACCATAAATGCTAGGCGAAGTCAGAATATCTGAAGCAATGTTAAAACCAAGATCCAGGAGGAATTTACTCTTGCTAAATTGCTATTTGGTCTATGATATTCATTAAAAGATATTGATAAATTCTGTTTTGCATCCCACTGTATGCATTTTTGCATAGATGTTTTTAAAATAATAAAATGCTGCTTTCCTTATTTTAGTTGTATGTATTTTTTAAATAATCATTCTCCCCTTTTGTTTTTCATGCTTACTTCTATATCCTTTGTAATAACATGGAGCAGTTTTATAAATCTCTTTCCCAGGAACCTAAAGCCCAGTCAAATGAGTAAGATATCAACATCACTTATGCATATTAGATATTTGCTACACTAATAGATTTAAGAAGAGTTGAAATGTTTAAAAGATATCATGTTCAAAATTTAACTCTAGAATCAAGGTCACAAATTTTAGTGCTACTTTGCTGGTCATGTACCACTAATTCATTCTGTAATAAATATTTTCTGGTGCCTATCATGTGCCATGCACTACCAAAATACAACCATTTCTGTAAGGATTTCAGACAAGAAAACTATACTTCTACCAGTGAAATGGGCTAGACAGCTCAGTAACTTTCTATATTTTTGAGTCATGACTAGGAGATTTGATGGGCAGCCCAAGTTTACAAGAAAAGCACAGAGTAGATAAGGAGAGAGAGAGAGAGAGAGAGAGAGAGAGAGAGAGAGAGAGAGAGAGAGAGAGAGAGAGAGAGAGTTGGATTCAATGTGAAAATTGCATCCAACCAAAAAGAGCTGGGTGAGTGCTAAATATTCAGCCTGATTTCTTGACTTATCACATCCTCTGACATAGAGATGGAAGAATTTATCCACACAAGCAATGAAAAAAGGGTTCCCTCTTCTCTGTCACCAGAAGGAGAAAACTGGGCTGGTATCAATGAGTCAGGAGCCAATTTGCTTTATAAAAGAAATGATTGCATTTTTGTTTGTTTGTTTATTTTTGGATCTCTCTGAAAAGAATAATTACATCCAATAATAAAAATATCATTTAAAATATTCACAGGCTTTTAATTATATTGTGCCCTCCCTCTAAAACAAAGAATGACTAAAGACCTTAAGATTATATTATACTGTATAAATGGTCAAAAAATGAAATCAAATTGGGTTTAAATAATAATATTCTATTGGAACTACACCATGTGGCAAATTTCATTCTCACATTGATTTTGACAGCTGAGTTATTCTTGGAGAGAAAAGGTCTGTCACTGCATGTATTCGAAATCCACAAAGTATTCCTTTACCTATAGCATGTAACACAGAAAAATACACCATTCCAGTTGGACAAATATTAATAGGCATTACCTCGAAATAGTAAGGAAACACTTTCTAAATATCAGGCCAGTTTATATTGACAAAAACATTGCTACTTTTTGAGAAACAGTTTATCTTTCTGAAAATGGGAAATGGGGGGAAAACCCTTTTATAATATAATTACAATCTTTAAACTCTAACAGTTACCAGCAATTATGCTTTGCTATGGCATAAGTCTTCCTCAAAGAACATAATGTAATTGTGTTGGTTCACACCTGTGGTCCTTGTAGTCCATTATATAACCTTTGAGTGAGAATGAAGGACTTGTAGAATAAGATCTTTTTGCTGTCGACCTTAAAGGTTAAAATATGATCTTAAACACTGTAATACTTTTCAGTAACTCAATATGTGTTTAATGGTTCACCAGTTTACCAAAACCTTTCATAAAATTCAATAAAATTGAATCAATTCGATAGAATTCGTTTCTATTTCAGCTATAGCATGCACCAGAAGGTAAGGAAATTCACAATTTTATCATTTCAGAATTTTACTGCCCACTATGCAAAGTAATTCTGTTTCTAAACACTGACCCATCTAGAACTTCAAGGGTGTCTCTTGGAAATGTGTTTGTCTTTGAAAATGTATTTGCCTTTGAAAACGTATTTGCTTTTCAAAAGTAGGTTGCGTTCAGATTTATCACGTCTTTCATGCCACATTGAGGACTAAAAATCAGCAAATACATTTGCTAACAGCTCTAAATAGGCAAAATGCCCTGCACACAGAGGATATGCTTTAAATATTTGTTGAAGGAATGAATATTGTTGAAAAACCCTTACTTAGACAAATAAAAATTAGGATAAGGTCCAGAAGCTTAAAACAACCCATTAATGTATTAAATATTAGCTAGAGTATATTTTGCGTTCTAGTAGCACCAATCATATATAATAGAAATAATAATTATTAAATTTACCAATTTCAGAACAAATAATGAAAAACAAACACAATCCATAAAAGTAAGCCCCTGACAAGTACTTAATGACACTGATGAAAGTAAATACAAAATGAATTAATCCTTTCAACTTACAATTAACGTTTTGACTGACATTTGGTGAATTGTTTTCTTAAAAATAACTTATTCTCAGGAATTCAGGAGTATGATTGTGAGAAAAGGATATAGAAATAGTCGTGGTGGGACCATTTAACTTAGAAAGCTATTAGGGCAGATAACCATGTTTTCATATGCATTTATTTCTCTTCTGAGCCTATTATACATCTGTATTTCTAAGATTCTAACAATGCAGGATAATATAAATTGCACATTTTTTAAGTAGAAAAATCATTAATGAAGGATAAACTAATTTGCTTCTTAGTTTTCCACTGCTTCTTAGCTGGCCAAATTGCATAGTACTTTCCCTTTGTAATTTGTTCATTTTAATTATGAATTATTCATATATACCAATATAGAAAGGTATATAATAGACATTTAATAATCCATCACCATACTTAAAAAATATCAATATATTAGCTCAGTAGTAATCATGGAATACACATCCAGAGAAGAGACAAAAAAAAATGTGAATCTACCAAACTGAGAAGTTAGGAAATTTGGTAGGAGTGAGTTTTGATGAAGGTGGGGGGGGACTGGGAACAGGCACTTTCAATTATTGCTGGTGTGATACACAACCAGTAGGAAAAGCAACTTGGGAACTACCTAGCCAAGTTAGCATTTAGTGACCAATTTATTTTGTAAGCTCTATTCCTATTCGAAAGCTCTGTACACAAATTGGAACTCTTTTAACTATATGCTTCAGTTCTAGTTCTTTGTTCTAAGAGATGCTGTTTATCATTTGCTAAATGATTATCTATCTTTAGATATCATTATCTAAAGTTACATTCCTCTTATTGATAGTATTAATGTCTTGTTTAAAATCTATTTTAATAAGAAGTAACATTTGAGAATAAATATCAAGCTGCATACAGAATTTAGGTGTAGTCAAATGAATCGACACAGATCTCAAAAATAAAACAGATGACACGATTCCATGAAATGTGGCGTGTACCAGACCAAAAAGACAAGTATTGGATCAAAATGAGTTTGGTTCTAAGACTTTTGTAAGTTGTACTTTTAAAGAGAGCCAGTGGCAAAGTTCCAAAACGACTCACTGGAGAGAAGAATTGCTTTAATTGCATAAATACATTAGGGAGGGTATGAACAGCCCCCATGCATTCCACTATATGGCGTCTTATTTCACACTTTTTAAGGTTTACACAACAGTTAGGCAGTACCTGAATCACTTCCCATGGTGCCTGAATCACTGCCCATGTTGCTGTTATGTCCAAGGCTTTCATCTAAGCAGCTGACACTTCCTTCTGCCAAACTTGTGTCTGATTCTGCAAAGGAAAACATTTTAAAATATTTTTAAAATATTTCTGAGAATAAACGTATTTTAACTGCACACCTCTACAGCACACAGTACATACAGTTCAATGAAAGTGGGGAAGGCACACCCAGACAATTATGAATAAAAGGTAAGAGATTCTGGCAGGCTACATTAGGAAAAATCCACTATGGATGAGCAGCTGCTGGGTAGTGACTCAAATACATATTACCTACTTAAAGTGCTGTGATCCAATGTAAGAACTGAAGCAAATTCTTAAGGGCTTACGACTTTGGTCATTGCTCACCATGTAGATTTTGCCCCCCAAAAAGAATATCCAAGCTTGATACTAGGTTTCAAATAAAAATACCATATAAAAAATATTGAAACTATTTTCATGTACAATGGTAGAGAACTAGTAAAATATATAAAATTAATAAAATGCATGGATCTACTGATCAGTTATGAAAATATTTCAGTGATAAACATGGATTTATCATATAATAATTTAAAATCTAAAACAAATTCGTTCAAAAAAAAAATCCCTGAAACCTGGTTTTACAGTGGTACCATGAGCTTATGTGTGGCTGGAAATAAATGTTTTCTTAACTATAATTAAGTTAAGCCTCTATCGAAGAGTTATGGTCAAACATGAACAGCAAGTGCACACCCTCCACTTAATCCAATTTTCTGGTTTCAGTAGCATCAATTCTTTTGAAAAACCTTAATTTCTTCAAGGGAAGAATTTCTTCAGTATAGTTCAATTCCCAAAACTTATGCAATATCATTCTTAAGGATCAAAATTACCAACCTGGTAAAAATCAGTGCAGTGGTTACTAATGTAGGCTTTGGAATCAGAAGAACTTGTGAAATTTGCTATTGATATTGCTTTGATCCTAAGTTTTTGTTATTTAAAATGGGGCTAATAGTATTTACCTCATAGGATTTGATAACCATTAAGTAGTATTGGGTACAACAAGTTTTTGGCACAGTAGATTAATTGTTGTTAGTTGGTGATTAGAAAATGAAAAAAAAATATATCAAGTGGTGGTCTAGTACTGGCAGGCATTCATTTAATAGTGTTCTTATATTTAATAATATTTCAAAACATTTATACATCTTAGGTAATCATCATCTCCTCTTACACCTCCCTCAATGCACTAAGAAGTTACAGTAAGGTAGCCTTTAGCTGTGTAAAACCACTCTCATCTATCATATATTTAAAGCTGGAAATAAAAATTGATGATAAACAGACACATAGCATGTTATCAAAAGAACTTCTCCAAAAGATATGATACTAAAAACTTTAAGTACACTCTTTCTTTTGAACTAGTTCATTTTTTCAAGTCAGATGAGGTGTATCTTTTACACTGCAAAATTACTCTTTTTAGTTGTATGGTTTGACGAATTTGATAAGTGTATAGAGTTCTATAAGATATTTCTATTACCATCCAAAATTTACCTCAAGCCTCTGTAGAGTCAATGTCCTCCACTGTCCCCTGGTTACCACTGATCTGATTTCTGTCCCTACAGTTTTGCCCTTTTCAGAATGTCACATAAATGGATTTATGCAATATGTAACCTTTATGTCTTGCTTCTTTAATTTAGCATAAGATGTGTGAGTTTTGTCTATATTGTTGTATCTGTAATTTCTTCCTGTTTATTTCAAGCCAGTATTCCATTGGGTGTTTGTTAGTGACATCTAAGACATCACCCCTCCAATTGAGTTAAGTCTATTTATCTTGGGAGATGTAATGGAATTTCAGTCAATACCAATCAAATATGTAAGACATCTTTCTTAAAAGTTAAAAGAAAGCTGATAAGAAAGTTATAGAAAAATTCTCAATGGACATCCATACTGTTTAAGTATATTAGCACAACATAAATATACTAATGTGAAAATACTGTGCTTATCAGTTGTCGTAGATTAGCTCTAAAACTCAGATTTGAGGAATCCCTTATGATCACACGGGAAAACCTGTATATCTCACTGAGAGATTTTAAATATGGCACTTTGCAATTCCCAGAGGTATGTCTTGTTAGAAGCTCAGAGGCGAGTGTGGGATAGAACTGTCAAGCCGAAGAGCATTTTGGGCAGATGTACTGATGAAAAGAGAATATGATTTGTAAGGAAAAGGCAAGGTGTAAAATGAGATGGGGAAAATGTCATTGCAAGGATAATTCTAGATCTAGAAATATAGGCCAAGATTTTGACGCAAAAAAAAGTGAATTTTGATGTGTTTTACATTTGTTGTTTTAAATATAGGTAGAGAACTGAAGAGAATAACAAATTACTGGAAAATACTAACAGATATAAGCTAAATTCTAACATTGTTTTCCAGTAGGCATAATAGAAATGAAAATGTATTTGATCTTCATTTCCTAAACATTTAGTAGTTAAATCACAACCTTAAACCTGCCCTTTGTACACGTAGAGTTAAGCTTCATTTTAGCATGCATAAATTTGAGGGGAGTTATTATGTATTGTGCACAAACAATTTATAGAGAAAGTTGCTACTAAGTACTAAGATGTTATTAATTAAGTTCATTATCTGAATAATTTTGATCTCACAATCAAATCTGCAATGTGTCAGGAAGACACTGAGCTCATAGCTTTCACAGATGTAAATTATGTCTTAAGTTCTCAACATTGCTTGTGGTAGATATCCATTAATTTGTTCACTTTCATAGATGAGAAACCAAGACTCAGAGAAGTTAATTTATCCAGATCACACAATTATGGGGCAGAGTCCCCATTTTCTAAATTCAAGTCTAGTGTTCCAGTGGCTGAAGATTGTGTGGTGCTTTGTAAACAAGTAAGCAATCCCACATCCATAGTGTTAAGAGAAATCAAAATTACTTTTTTTAAAAAAAGCAATAGACATTTTCATTGGAATGTCAAGTGTTGCACCAAACTTAAAATAGAGCTTATCTTTCTAAGAAAAAAACAAAAGAAGTTAGAAAAATGATTGTACTTTACTAGTACTTCTAATTCATTGAACTCCCATTAACTTTTCATTTAAGCAACCACACTCATTTTGCACACAAAGGAACACTTCCATCCTATTGCACAAAATCAATTGTAATAATTCTGTTAGAGATTATTAAAAATGAAAGAGTTCCATTTCTTTGTCATTTTAAGGATATATAAATCTTCAGCTTCTCCACACAAAAATAATTTAGTTTCCTAGGCAGCAAATTCTTATGCATATATATATATATATATATATATATATATATATATTGCTTTCTTAGAAACAGAAGTACTAAAGGAAAGAAATTTAATAATAAAAGAAAATACTTCTCTTTTACAGTGAAAAGATCATACCCAGGAGTTTTCCTCCTGCATTTACTTAAAAAATCATCTCTCTCTCTCTCTCTCTATCTCTCCCTCTCTTACACACACACACACACACACACATAGAATGAAATCAAAAAGTGCTCAGAGAAAGATGCAACCAACATATTGAGTTTATGTACCAAAAATTTCTACAAGTGACTTATTTTAGAATCATTTTGTGTTGTTCTTTGTACATTTCAGAGCATGTCATTCTGAAGTTAAGTCCTAATAAAAGTCATAAGCACATGATTTTAAATTAGATCATATAAAATAAAGTTAATAAGAGGCAGGATGTTGCCATACACTGATCATGCGCTTTGGAGTCCAGCGGATTGGTCTTCATATCTGAACATAACCAGTTTTAAGAAATAGTTTTTACTTTCTTATTTATTGTAAAAATGATTTTATTCAATCAAGGAAAACAGTCACAGGAGAAATAAGGCTTAAATTCTTGTGAAATTGCTGCTTAAAGCAGTGCTGACTATTGGAGTTACATCGTGTAAAAGGTTTAATTAACTTTTATATAGGTGTCATTTCCTCTAGGGAAAATAGCAAAGTCAACTATGAAATAGACTAGAAAACAATAGTAATTTATATCAAACTTGACTGGAATGAAAGAGAACCATGCCTGTTCAAGTAAGAGATAGGGTTTTCTGTAATAATTTTGTAAGCAACACAGAAAAGAACAGTTTTGCTCACAGTGACAGGAAATATCTAAGACCAGTCCATAAGTCATGGAAAACTACTGCCTCGTTTTAGAATCCCATCTTGAATATTTTGCTAATATGGCAGGAATATTACATTGAATCCAAGAAATTTTATATTTAACATACCCTAGACCTTAAATGCTTTAAAATATTTAAAAATCATTTAGAAATCAAAAATATTGAAGTTAAAATTTCAAACAAACAAAAAAACCCTCTTGAAAGCCTGTTCAGATTTATTTTAATGTAAAGTCTGCCCTCTGCTGGAATGTGCTATTATAACAAGTAGTAGACAGACAATACGTTTTTTATTCCAAGAGCTAAGGTTCACCAGGCAAAATAAAAATTGTTTCTTACTTCTATTCCTTCCAAGTAGTGTTCCTTCTATGTTTAGCCTAGATAATTGTTTACTCTATACCCACTCTCTCTCCTTTCTTGCAGGTTCTCTTTCCTAAAAGGTGATTTTGCCTTCCAGAAAGAAATGATGTGAGGGGCAAGGGCCCCTGTGGACACTGAGGAAGAACACCAACAGCTTTCTTCTCCTGAGAATTGGTGCTTTCAAGGCATTTGAGTTATCTTGCTTCACTTTTCACGGTAATTCTATGTTGAGTCTTGTTCTGACCTCATGATGCTTCTCAGTGTCACATCTAGCCACCCCACCTTCCCTCCAGTTTCATCATCCTCTCAGCATGGAACATCAGACTGCATGGACTTCTTAAATGTGTTTACTTTCATACTGCTAATAATATATTTCTCCTTTTTCTTTTGAAACAACTTAAATCTTTTTTTTGAGAGGAAATAGATCACTTTTATTTTCAGCTCTATGTATATGGATCTACACACACACACACACACACACACACACACACACACACACACACACACTTTTTGGTCTGTCAGATTTTTCTCTCTGTGCCAGGGAACATGTGTTCCCACAGAATGGAGAGAAGCCACCTCCACCCACCTTGC